CAGTCAGTCTCTGTAAGACCTCGACCTCTTAGCGGATCTGTGAACTGGAATGTGTGGATTCGTGTGCTTGGAAGATCATGAGACTACGGTGCCTCAGTATGTTGGACACCGCTGTCGACTTCCATGCTCCCTCTGATTTCCGTTGCTCTTCACCACTGAATTATGGCACACCAGGGTCGTAGTGTTTGTCGAAGATAACAATGGTGGCGAACTCGAGCTTCCTGGAGTGCCAAGACTTTTCAAGGGATAAATTGGTTGACGTGCAAGATGGCTGATACTTTGTCTATGATGCAGAACAAACAGAGCGACGTTTTTTAGAGCGCTCCAATCTACTGACATACTTACCAGGCTTTCTAGCTAGTTTTGGCGCAAGTTTGGACTGGTATCGTTTACAAACGTTGTAAAAGACCGTGCTAAATAATGCGGCATTAATCCACGGATAGAGCATTTCATAAAATATTATTTACGTTGAACAGAGTGCTTGCGTTTGCGCGTTGATAAACAATTTTAGAGCATATAGTCTGCTTCCCCATTTCAGAAAAGGTAATCTGTGCGACCGAATCGGTGCTAATTTAGAATCGAAGGAATTAGACTCAACAAGCACACGTATTTATAATGACCTCAATCAGGACCACTAACGATAGTTAATTAAACCGAAGACTAGGGATATAAACGTCTTTAACCATGTAAAGACTGAGATAAACTGACTTGACGACAATACAGGCAACATGTGATATATATATATATATATATATATATATATGTATATATATATGTATATATATATATGTATATATGTATATATATGTGTATATATATATATATATACCGGGGCTTATGAAAACGTAAGTACTAAGCGGATTGAAGGCGGAAGCTCAGAGGCGCCTACCATAAGTTGAATTGGATACGACCAATCTTCTGGATAGATTATGTAAAAGGTTAAGCCCGACGGGAATGGTACGTCATTGTGTTAGTATATTACATCGGAAAGGAATCGACGCATAGCGACGATCGTTTTAGGAGCACCCAATGGCTGCACCCGAGAGGTACGATCCAGATCGTTACCAAATAGCTTATTGCCACAGCAGAGTACACATTGGTATAGACAAATGGTTGAGTACTTGGAAGATAGCCACGCAACGTCTTGAAAATCTGCAAAACAATGCGAACACTAGAAAGCCGCATGTTTTCCAGGGATCAGCGCGGAATTTAGTTGGTCTAGTACTGTGGTAGTTGTCGTGCCAACGAGGTCGTAAGCGGCCGATATGTTGTATTGCCATTTGTCAATGCTTAAGACTGCGGAACAGTCGCGAAGGGGATGACTGGAGCGGTCGGGGACACAGAAAGCCTGAAGTGAAAACCCCAGCGTATTCCCACGCTATGTGACCTCACCCCATCAGCTACGCAAATTTCACCCTCGGGACGCGTACTTTCCCCAAGTGCGCTACGATCACGATGTCATCTTCTTACAGAGTCTATTTGACAAACTCCTGAACGCTAGTGAGGACTCCGTAAAAGCGAGGCAAATTACCCGTCTTGGAAAGTAAGGTGATCAGTGAAATCGGTCTATGAGAATCACTTTTGCGGACTAAGGCGGTCCAAGACTGATCATGTCCCGCCTAAGTGGGCTGAAAGGTTTGAAGATCCATGTTCGTTCAGAACTGGACCCAGTAGACAGGGAGCGGCTCAAGTCTGCCATCATTGAGCTGGAAAGACGCGCTGGTGAGCGGGAAACAAACCTTCATATCGTAAATTTTCGGGTGGTTTCCAACAATATGCGAATCAGGCTAAACAAGCTGCTCACACTTGAAGCACGCCCGGCGGCTCCTGCTGCGGCCTGCGAGTAGCCTTCACAAACGTTTGCAGTGTTATGGATAAGCGCGATGAGCTTTGTTGTTTCGTTGCGTCTGAGCGGCAAGACGTAGTGGGACTCGCAGCGACATGGCTGCATGCAGAGTTATACACCCAAGAACAAGAACTTAACGGTTACTTTTGCTTCCGATGCCCACGGTGGTGTCTTACTTTACATCCGGTCTTTCCTGCGTGGGAGACTTGTGGACACCTACCGAAGTGACGATGGTTTGTGTGAGCTACCGTGGTGCTCCATCCGCCTTAGGCGCGGATGGATGGGCGCAGTTTATCACAACCCGCTGAGTTGTTGTTTGGATTGGCTGTCCATTCTTCGAACCCACATGAGTCGTCCACACTTTCTACTTATGGGCGATTTTAACTCTCCTCGAATACGATGGCCTGATATGCATTTGATGCCTGGACATAGTGAGGTTGAAGCAAAGTTCATGGATTTGGTACTTGAAACTGGTGCATCGCAACACATATGCCAGACAATACGCATAACAACACGCTCAACGCCGTCCTGTCTCGATCTGATATTAATGAGCTACGAACAACCAGTGCGTGACATTAGGATCCTGGAGCCCCTGGCTACAAGTGACCACTCCGTGCTCATAGCTGATATGGAATTATCTTTGCTGTATTCACTTCCGCTGGAACCAGCTTCCAACTACTGAAAAACGGCTTTCGATGGTCTAGCTCGAGCCGCGAGCCATCTGGATTGGTCTGTCTCAAGCTTCATCTGTGGAAGACTGTTGGATATTTATAAAAGCGAGATTGACATCATTGTGTTCCCAATTTGTGCCATTGAAATGTCGGAAGGTTGGACCGATTAAGCCTCATTGGTTTGACAAGGAGTATGGAAATCTGGCTCGGAGGCTGCGCAGACTGTGGGACAAATTGCTCCTCTCTAGCTCTGCCAATGATTACGAAGGGTATAGGAGTCAGCGGAACCTCTGCAACAGTATAATAAGGAATAAGTGCCGACATTTCGAAGCGCAGCTCGCAGTAGCCGCGAAGAGCGCCCCACAGAGAATCTTTGCATACGTGAAGCGCCGCCTGAAGCCGGCAGGTGATGTGCCAATGCTGGATGGCCCGGATGGACAGCCTATAACCTCCAGCAGTGAGCATACGGCGCACTTCGCTTCTGTATTTTCGAATGACCAGGTGTCTGTTCCGAGTTGGATGTGTACCGCTTTTACCGAACTCGATAGTCTGGATTACGGCGTTGAAGAGGTATGTCAACTATTCGCCAACCTTGACGGCATCAAACCTGCCGGACCTGATGGGCTTCATCCACTGATTCTCAAGTCACTTTCGACCATTATCTCTCCTGTCGTGCCTGACCTTTTCAACAGGTCTCTGTCCGAAGGTTCGTTTCCGGTTGACTGGAAATGTTTCGTGGTGAAGCCTGTTCCGAAAGGCGGCGACCCTAGCAAAGTAGACAACTACAGGCCAATTTATCTGACACCTTTTTTGGCAAAGTTTGATGAGAAAATCGTGAAGAAGGGATTGCTGCAGTTGCTACAGTCAAACGAGGTCCTGACGCCCTCACAGCATATTTTTTTGCAAGGCCGCTCATGCCTTACGAACTTGCTTGTGACGAGACATGAGAGGTTGAAGGCAATAAGCAAGGGGAAGTCTGTCGATGTGATATTCATCGATTTCAGTAAAGCGTTCGACTAGGTCAGCCATGAGGTTCTCTTTCACAAACTCAAGATGTGTGGTGTCAGTGGCTCACTGCACCGGTGGATCCGCGACTTTCTTGTTGGACGAAAGTGGAGGGTACAGGTCGACGACCATCTAACTGACTGGTACCCCTCTACAAGTGGCGTGCCCCAAAGCACTGTGCTGGGGCCCACTCCGTTCCTGATTCACATCAACGATCTACCTCAGCTTCTCCGGTCGTCGTGTACCTTGTTTTCGGACGACATGAAGATTTGGAGAGAAATTGACGCTCCCGACGACCTCAACCGCCTATCCACATGGTCTGCAGAAGTTCATCTCTCGGTCGACCCAGCTAAGCCTGTATTTATGAGCCTGGGGAAGGGTGCTGACGGCCGAACCTACATGCTTGACGGCCAACCGCTATATCCCGCACCCTCCGTGAAGGACCTAGGTGTACTCTCGCGCTACGATTTGAAGTCCGTGGACAACACGAACAGACTATATCGTAACGGACTGCGCATGCTTTGGGCGCTCAAACGTAGCTTCGGCACACGGTCTGAAGAGGTTGCCACTCGCCTCTTCTCTTCCATCCTTAGACCAGTGCGAGAGTAGGGTTCGCCCGCCTACGTTCCGAGTACCCGAGGCGAGGCTCGAAAGATCGAAGGGGACCAACACGTTGCTACGAGGTTCATCCCTAGTTTACGTGGCTTGGGGTATGAAGACCGGTGCGAGAAACTGGTAATCTACACCTTGTCCTACCGTCGGGTGCGAGTCGACCTCATTATTACCTACCGTATTCTACATCTCGGTGACCTGCCAATGCTGCACTTACGAGGGCCATGCAGCACACGCGGACACAGATACAAACTTGTCGTGCTGGATGTGAAGTGTGTTCCCCACCCACTGTGCTTCGAACGGAGAGTGGTAAATATTTGGAACAGTTTACCAGAACATGTGATGGAGGCAACATCTGCGCAGCAGTTCAAAACGTTGTTAGATTTATATTTTACCGCTATTCGATTAAGGGAATGATTGCACACTTACGATGACATGTCACATTTGTGCGTTCTGCAATATCGTGAATCAGCTATTTTAAATGTTACATGTGAACGATAACGATATTCACGGCTGACAACTTTTATAACGTTTTTCACCATATTTCGAAGAGTTGTGCAGAATTCATTTCTACTTTAGAATACAGTATTCTGTATTCACTATACTCATTGCATGTTGCAAGTATGATTGCAAAGAACGTATTGCGGCTTCTGGTTGCGTGTTTTACTAGCCTGTTGTTCAACCCATTTTTCGAGCGCATTCCAGTGGTTTTGTACTTCCCACCAACTTCGTTTTCGTTCCTACACTGCACACTTGGTTTTTTGTTAACCTGAACTGTGCATCCTGGGTGCTTTAGCATGGGCGCAGGTGCAATTCATTGCTTTGGATCCTCAACTCTGTGTCCTATTCTTTGTGTTCCCTTTCAGATAGCAAACTTTTCTGGTCATGCGTCACTAACGCTTCGGAGCCGGCACTGTCAGGTACGTTTTCATGCATGCTATACTTATCACTGCTCTCGCGCATTTCGACCCTCCCTATTTCTCCTCTGCATGACTGCATTTCTCGAAAAAGCCACGTACCGCAAATTAATTCTACTCTTTCCAACATCTGATCAGGTTTTCTCTTTTTGTTTGGCGGTGGTGCTTTTACCGATCCATGCCATGTTGTGCTGTTGAGTGCCAGCACGTAGTTGATTTTCACCTTTCAAGCGTTCTACCTACACAAGTCACATATGCCCGTTTAACCACTCTGTGACGTGGGGGATATAATTCGCCACTAAATAAGTTCGCTGCATCTTTCCTCTCTCTGCGACATTTCAATTCACTGTGCGTTTAACCTCTGATCGTATGCGGTCCTAAAGGCTTATGAGCCACTTGTTTGGTCAGAGGCTTCCAACGGGTGGCAGTACCCTTTTATCGCCCTGATGACTTGTAGGTTAGATCCTGGATCAAAGGCTCAAGCTAGGCCCCCTAAGGCAACACTCTACTTCGGCGTGGGCAACTGGATAGTATCACGCCCACTGTCTACTGGCTTTACTGTCTGCTGCTTAACGTCCGCCTGCAGATCGTCCCACTTCCTGTTCTTCAACTGCACCTATGTCTTCTCCCGTCACCGTCAACAACAGCTCACTGGTCGCATGTGCCAGAGTTCTGAGCCAAACTTTTGTCCTTCTTTGCCCGGTGGTCACAACATCCTCACACTCAACCGAAGCACAAGCTTTCCTTCGTCCTGAATCTCCATTCGTCATTACAGCCTTCAATGTGCGCACTCTGATGCAGATCGGACTACAAGCATGTCTGGCCCGCACCCTTGAGAAACTCTCGGTGGACATCTGTTGCATTTACGAAACCAGGTTGCAAGACGCCAGTACCGTCATCATAATAACATCTCCGACAAACCCCGACGTCAAATACCACTTCCGCCTTTCCGTAGACTCAGAGGCCGCCGCTTCTGGCCAAGCTGGTGTTGAGGTTGCACTGAGTGACAGAGCCGAGGTCGCTTTGTTTGACTAGATCCCAGTCAACAATCGGCTATGTGCGGTCAGATTACGATGTTCATTTAGGCTAAGTAAGCGTCGAGATGTTACGCGTCCCCTTTTGTCATCTCCGCCTACGCTCCGACGAACTGCAGCTCGGATGCAGTCAAGGATTGCTGTTACCAACAGCTACATGTGCTTCTGCGTTTCGCTGAAAAGTCTGATATTGTCATTCTTGTCGGAGATTTAAACCCCCAAGTAGACCGCCTGCCACCAAGCGAGCACCATCTTGGGGGTGGTTCTGATCTCCGTAGCAGCCGATTAGACAATGAAGACAGACTACTGACTCTTTGTTCTGATCATCGCTTGTTTCTTTTGAGTACATATTTTCGTCATTCGAAAAGCAGACTGTTACCTGGCGCCTGCCTTCTCAAACACAAAGATAGTCCCAGCTTGACCACAGCAATATGCTACAGATGGCGCGGAAGCGTAACAGACTGCTGATGGTATTGATCAACATGTCTGGATTCCGATCACACACTGGTTTCCTCCAACATTTGCGTGCGTTTCGGTGGATCATCCAGACGTACGCAGTACCGACCGAACGTCGAAAATCTGCCACATCCTGCGACGATAGCCAAGTACCAGACTTCTCTGTACACACTACTTGCTTCATTCTCTGACGATGGTCTTAATTCGCAATGGATGCGCATCAAAGACGCTTTAATTTTTGCCAGTACTGTCAGTTGTGAATTTGTTTGTCACCCACCGAAAAGCTGGATCACCACTGCCTCATTGTCTCTGATGGACAGACGCCGCTTTATCCCAAGCCGACACTAGCCGTAGTGATGAACGCCGATCACTGGATCGAGCGTTACGTTGGAGCTTACTGAAGGGCCGTGAGACCTGGTGGCGTGAACATGTTAGAGACCTTGAACTTGCTAATCTCTGTTAATACCAGAAAACTGTTCCACCTCATCCGTCACCGAAGACTTCCGATCAGGGGTAAGCGAAACAGTCTGCGAAGATGATGACTCCCTAATCACTAGTCTTCAACGACGGTTGGAGCGATGGGCTGAACATTTTCGCTGGCAGTTTTCCTGTATGCTAGCTTCATCTGTTTTCCATGGAGCGCACACTGGTGATGAGTGAACGATCTCAGCTGATCCTCCCTCTCACCAGGAAATCTGGCGGGAATTCTGCTGCCTAAAGCGTTATAAGGCGCCGGGCCCTGATGGTCTACCTCCTACTCTATTTAAAGATGGGAGCTCTTCGCTGGTTCGAGAACTCACCGCTTTGTTCTCAGAAGTCCGGGCAAAAGAAGAAATTCCATCATCCTGGGGTAAGTCGGTAGTCGTCCCTATCTTCAAAAAGTGCATGCACACAAATTGCTCTAATTACAGGGGCCTAAGTTTGGTTCCCGTCGTTTGCAAGATTCTGGTGTCCATCATTCTTCGCAGGCTATCCCTAACGTGAGAATTACTACAGCGAGAAGAACAGGCTGGGTTCCGCCCTGGTCGAGGCTGCATCGATGAGATTTTCACACCGCCAGATTCTCGAGCTCCGCCATGTGTATCAACAGCCAACGATTGTTGTGCTCCTGAATGTCCTTGCTGACTTCGTTCCTGTCGACAGAGCTACATCGTAGCACTGTCTGTTGAGTAGTGGTATTCCCAGGAAGTTTTCATTCTGCGTGCTCTTTATTGTCTGACTTCGGGTATAGGGCTTATGACAAGCCTTCGCCTTCCTTTGTTGTCACCAGTGGGCTTCGACAAGGATGCCCTATCTCTCCATTCCTCTTCAACTTTGCCATTGGGGATTTCCCCAGAATGCTCTATAAGACTTGTTGAATGCTGGCGTTGAGCTATTCCCAGGTAGTCGGATGGTTGACTTGGATTACGCCGATGATATCGTCTTGTTGGGTGACGGTCCGCATGCTGTCTAACTTGCATTTAACCGCCTGGCGATTGAAGCGTCGAAGTATGGTATGCACTCTTCACCATCCAAGTGCAAAGAACTTTTTCAAGACTGGTATACGCCCCTGCCTGCACTCACCATCGATTGGAAAACGTTATAAGTGGTACAGAGTTTTGTCTACCTGGGAAGCAGCAAAACTGCTGGTGGGGGCGGTTGGAAACGAGATTTCGTTGCGTATCTCAAGAGCTCGTCTCGCCTTCTCCATGCTGAGGCATTTATGGTATCGCCATGATATCCGTCTCTCCATCAAAGGACGGGTTTATGGTGCTACTGTCCGCGCTGTACTGTTGGACGGTTGCGAGACTTGGCCTGCCCGTACCGATGACCCACGTCGACTGTGTGTCTTCAGGAATCGTTGCTTGTGGTCCATCGCCCATGTGTGCTGGCCGAACCACTTAACCAATGGCGAAGCCAGATAGCTTGTCTAGGGTGGAGACAGCCACACCCTCGAGGCTCTTATCTCGCTACGCCAACTACGATGACTCCGACACTTACTGCGTATTCCCGTTCAGCGTCTTCCGCGAAGTGCCTTGTTCGTCTTCGGTGGACAGAGCTGGAGTTGGCAGTGTGGTAGACAGCCTACAGCTTGTTGCGGTGATTCCCCCTTCCCCCAACAAAAGCACCAAAAAGTATTCAAAAACTGTGTGGAAATATGGACAAGATTGTTTGTTTTTTCTTCCTTTACCCCAACGCCGTGAACTTCATGTTACTTTGTTCCAACTTTGCTTACAGATGGTCCTGGAGCGCCTGCGTCTACCTTCATCATGCGTTCGTCCACTACCGGTTTTCCTCACTTTATTGGGAAGCGCGGTAAAGGATTTTTCTTAAATTAGCAACCGAGGGACTTTCGCAACCCACTGTTTTATGGGTACCTCTATATACCCTGCGTACCAGTTTTTTATACTTGTTACCTGTGCACAATGACAATGATCGGTTATACCCAATCTACCGTTTATACTTAGTAACCTCGTTTGGTTTGTCCAGTGGAAGACCATCAGCTATTTAGCCACTTCGTGCTCAGATGGGAAAATTTGAGTCACTGCACGTTACTCTGGATTTAACTTAAATCAGTGATTGAAGCCGCAATCATTGCCCTCATCTGTTTTCGCGCTGCTTGTTCGAACTCTAATAGTTATTAGGTAAACTACAGGAAATAATGAGGGACGTGGCTACTCCGTCCACCTAGCGCTGGTCGTTCCAGGTTGCAATATTTAAAGGCACTTTCTGCGTTACTTCCAACTACCTGAGCACTAGTCTGATAACGTTATGAACCTTTCAACTCGGCTGTTTAACTATAACAGCTGAATCTCGAATGTAAAATGGGTTTCCCATTGAGATAGGACTGTATCGTTCATGTCCACTGTTTTATCTGCTTTAGTGGTGTTACTTCGATTGTTCGACAAATAGGAACAGTCGTAAGATTTCCTCAGAAAAACCATTGTCTTATTATGATAACGATTTGGACTTATAATGTACAGCAGAGGTGTCAAGTCGTTTCAAGAGAACTCCAGTTTCAGCGCAGCATATACACTACTACATTTGTTGGAACGGATCTGAACTACCATTGGTGATGGCTTACCTAGTTGTTCCAGGAATTGAACGTCTTTGATAACTGATCAATATGCGCCGAGTTTGAGAATTATTGGGTCGTTTGGTTAGCTACTCCCTGAACACGCTGTTTGCGTCTAAGCTGTTACCTTTTGATCGTGACTACATTTGGGTGTCTATTGGAATCGGAATTGCATGAAAAAGGGGATCCAGCAGTCAGCATCAACAGCAGTACATCAGCCATTTGAACTGATGCTCCCTGCCATATAACCATGAGGACCTATGAAATAAAGAATAAGAGGGAGAGAAGGGTGACTTACCTGAAAACCTTAATGCCCTAAGCAAACATTTAGGGTCAAGGCGCCTACACCTTGTGTAGACAACATACCGTCACAAACAGCTGGCTATTGTGCAAAGATAAGGCGGCATCGGCGAGACAGCTTCCTTGCGGCTTTCACTGCCACGCGTCGTAATCAGCCATTACCTCGCAGAGAACTCAGCACCAAACACACTTTAAACAGGCAGTCCGATTAGGAGACGGCAGCAGACGCACCACTGGTGTCGGTTGCGAGCCATGTCCTGTAAAATCTCGAGCCAAGCACAAGGTGAGTCACGTGGACTCCAGCCCGGAAGGCGAGACGGACCAACGGCACCCAGTTTGCTCGTCAGTGACTTCATTTCCCGCTGCCAAGTTAACTTTTGTCCACCTCGAGCCTTGCGCCACCCTACACCTGGTAGACTAAACAAGGCCCTCCTAGGTAAACGGTGACCAGACATACGTATCACGTGCCCGAGCCACCGCAACTTATTCAGTGCTATCTGTTGTTCTAGGGAGCTAGCATCATTATCACGACCTAGTACTCGCCTACGCACATCATCGTTGCGGACACGCTGGCGCCATCCGACACCAGTAATGCTTCGCAGACAACGATGATCAAAGACTTGAAGGCGCCTCAGATCTTCAGAACGAAGGGGCCAAGTCTGACTACCATAGAGCAGAACGGCCCTCACTGTGACCTTGTACATCCGGCCCTTCAGATGGAGGGAAACTCCCTTCTGTCGCCAAAGATGCCGCAGGTTCAAGAAGGTAGCTCTGGCTTTTGCAGTGCGTGAGCTGACGTCAGTTTCTATGCGCCCATCATGGCTGATGCATCTGCCAAAATAAGTGAAATGATCAACCACCTCGAGTTCCTCGTTAGCAAGCGTCAAGGGGTCATCAAGTGGCTGGTGGTCCTGCAGTAACACTTTGCACTTTGAAGGTGCGAAGTGCATACGAAATAATGGGACCACTCTGGACAGGCTATTCAGGGTTGATTGTGCCGTCGCAACATGGTCGAAAATCAAGACGATATCGTGCGCATAATCTAGATCAACTAACCTTTCACCACGCAGCACTTCAACGCCTACATCGTGAGATTCCGCAAAGGAACACTCCATGGTAGAATTCACGACGAAATTGAAAAAATGGTGAAATCGGACAACCTTGACGAACGCCACTTGTGGTCGGAAAGCTATCCGATAGGACACCATAGACCCTGACCAGGCCTGTAGTGTTCGAGTATGGAACACGGAGGATGTTCATCTATTTCGTGAGAACACCTTTCCGAACAAATATTTCGAACAGAATCGATCGATCGACTGAATCGAACGCACTCTTGAAATCGAGGAACACAGCTATTGTCGATCTGCGGTATGCGTGGCGCTGCTCTAGCACCTGTCGCAAAGTGAATATATGGTCTATACAGCCGCGTCCTGGGCGAAAACCGGCCTGCTCTTCCCTAATCAGACATTCCCGTTCCGCAGTGAGGCGACGAACGATAATCAAGGCCAATAATTTTGTCACAACTGGCGTTAGGCTACTTCCCCTGTGGTTAGAACAGTCTGTGCGACTGCCCTTCTTGTATAGTGCCACTATAATTGATTCGCTTCAATTAGCCGGGACACTTCCTTCCAGATACATTCGAATAAGGTCAGTGTTTTGCAGGAGAACTCACCTCCATCCTTAAACAGTGCAGGTGAGAGGGAATCCGGGCCTGCGGCACGAAAACGATTAAGGGCTGTGATCGCGTTTCGGACCTCGGCATCCGACGGAGGCTCTAAACTAACCTTCCATGGCTCGTCCTGCATCACCTGAGTAGGAAGAGGTCCGGGAGCAGGGGGCCAGCTGAACTGATCTTGAAAGTGTTCCGCCCAACGAGACATACGGCGCTCCTTATTGTGTATCAGCGCACCCGCGCTGTCTCTGATTGCCTCACTGACGCCTGGTTTTCTGGGACCAGTGGTGCGGATAAGCTGGAAGATCTTGCGGATATTGCCTACTGCTCCTGTTTTCTCCATTTCTTTAGCCCTACTGATTCACCAGGCTTCCTTATCAGCACGTAGGCTCTGCTTTAGTTCATGCTTAATAGCCCGTCTGGTCACATTGTGTTCAGAGCCAGCCGGGAGGTGTCTTCTAGATTCCAACAGGTTCACGGACCTCTCGGATATCCAGTGACTGGTGCGGTGACGATGGATAGGGTATATATATATATATATATGTATATATATATATATATATTCTCGAAGAAAGCACAACACGACACATAAAAGTCCATGGTTTCGTCAGAGGGCGAGATACTACCCGGTTGTCCAAGCCGAAATAGATGATGGATAGTGCCAAATGCTGATACTGCTGTTTCGTGCATGGCGGCCCATTTCCTATTTCCCTGAAGCTCAGTGTCATTATGATAAGACCGCGAAAGTTCGGTGCTCGGTGTGTCTTGATAGGCTTGCCTGACCGAAGACTAACAGTTTCTCAGTTCCCAATTGGAGGAGACGCTTGGTGCCCCTCCCGGTACAGTTCATGGAGAAACGGCAGCGTACCAAGGCAAGATCAGAGTCGACACAGGTACTCCAGTACGAACGGCTATCCAGAATGGAACCACGCCATCTGTAACTTTTGGCTATGTAGTCAATTTGGGTCCATCGCTGACCAGCTACAGGAGGACGCCAAGTGGCACTTCGGCGCCCACTGTGTCTAGAAGCAGTGCTGCTAAGAAACAACTGGTGCTTCGCACACAGTTGCAGCAGACGCTCACTGTTGTCAGTCCGTTCGAAGTTAAGCCCGTAATTACCACCCAGCTGAGCTTCTGACGAGCTCAGACGCCTACTTGTGCGTTCATATCCCCTGCATGTACTATAATATTTGAACTACTAGGGCTGTATAGTAGGGCGTGCAATTCGTGGTAGAATGTGTCCTTGACAGCATTAGGACTAAAGTCGCTGGGAACATAACGGAAATCACAAACAAACAGCGTTTGGTACTACTTCGTGAATCAACCTTATTTGGTGTCGTCGAACGGGCTGCACATAATCGGCTGTTCACCGGAATCCAATCAACCAACGTTGACTCAGCCTTGGAGCTTAGAATGATACCTACACCATCTTGACCCGTGAGTTCTGCATCGGCCTCTTCGGATGCGTGCAACCAATAACGAGAGGATAAGCCGGGTGCAGTTAATTCAATAACATCGTTCGGGTCATTGATCCTAGTTTCGGACACACAACGCACATCAATGCCTAGTGTGTCCAAGGTGCGTGCGAGTGCAGCCTGTTGACCTGTTTGTCTTAGAGTGCGAAGGTTGAATGTCGTCATGGAAACGGGACAGCGTGGCCTTATAGGGAACTTTTGCCGATAGGCGTCCGATAGGTGCGGTGGGATGGTGGCTGCAGATGGTTCTACTCCAGTGACACTTCGGTTGCTGTCAATTAAGCTGGGAATTATAGCAGGAAGGTTAGTAATGGGGGTCGGGATGGGAGTAAGAGAAAAAGGTGGAAAAGAAAGAAGGGAGGCGCCAGCAGTAGCATGTTTACGCTTATCCGCCCTGCTGTATGCAGCAGATAAGGTGACCCTTGATAATCTGCGCGACGGCTGATGCAGGATGAAGTTTATGTTTGAAGAAAATGTCATGGTTGTATGTGGGCTGAGATACTGCCAGGGCGCCCATACCAAGACAGGAGGACGATTAGGGTCCTCATCCAAAGTCTTTGGCTCAAAAGCCTGTCCGCAAGGCAGCGGGGAGGTGGCAGTGATTTAGTTTTACAGAAATGGACGCCATCCCATTTGAAACCCCCAACCTGGAGGACCAGGAAACTGCGTTTGTCTGACCTCTGACCATTGGCCAACCTGGAGGCATCACCCAGTATAGCTCAATGGGTCAATGAGGTACGCAAAATGTCGCACAACGTTAAGATCCATTCTCGTGGCGACTGTTATCCAGCAATAGGTTACGTTGGTTTGTGCACTATCCCTGCGTGTCCACCCACCGTTTACGTGGTGTTTGCCTCGTTTACCTGCGTTTTGTTGTTTCATTCTCAAACTTGTCTCTGATCTTTTTACTTTATGGAACATCACATATCCGCGTTGAATTTGCCCTACTTACTAGATAATGCTTGTGAATCACCTTTCTCTGTGTACTTGTGGGTTCCTTTTGTTACTCTAGTTATGATAGGCGTAGCTAAATGTTTTCTTATGGTTTTCATTAGACTGAACACATTTATATCTTTAGTTTAGTCGTTACAACCTCTTGATCACCTAAATGATAGAAACGGTTTCCGATTTGACTTTTGTTTGGAACCAATGAGACCCTTGCTCAGTATTATCACTTGTTTATTGTAAAAGTTGATCAGCTATACCACATCCGTATCCAGTGGGGATTTTTTATTATGGGGTACACTTGTGACCACAATCGTACTCTTCTCATTTGTCAACTGTTGGATCTGTAATTTTCTAGTATTGGGCTACACAAATTTTGATAACAACCCTTAGCAAGTTTTCTAACCACTCTGAGAACTAGGCTGACTTTTTATTTTCTTATCAGTGCAAGTTACTGGGCAACCAGTATATCATTTTTCAATCCCAAAAGCTACTTGACATCATGCAACACCATTTTCACCTGCCTGAGGTCATATAGCCGTTCACCTGCCGGCTGCATACTTTTTCTCATCTTTTTTTGTTTTCGCATTTCAATAGATTCAACTATTCAACAAATCGGAATACCAAGTTCGTCTCGCTCAGGCGGCTCTAGTGAACCCAGATTCTCCCTTAGCGCAAATGTGCTATGCGTTTCACTAATTGCCTTCTATGAGGATGATTCTGTTTCTTTGGCTGATCCATCCATTCCTTGTCACGTTGATTCGGATCTGTGCAAGTCTGTGGGGCCCGCCTCCCGCCTTTCCCATCTTGGACATCTTTCTTCTCGAACAAAGCTTAAGCCTTCTAGTTCGAGTGAAGGTGACATAACTTCAGGCGATGAAACTTTCTGTGAACCACCTGATCTAGGTCCCACTCTGAACGAATTTGCTGGTGATCATTCTGAAGCACCCTCCGAACCTTCTCTTCCAAACTTACGATCACTTGCAGTTCTTCCTGGCCCATTCTTATTTTTCTCTCGTTTTGCTGGTCTACTTCCTTGGCGACAGCCTTCTCCATCTCCTGAGCCAGATGTAGTTCCTGTGCATTGTGGTAAGCCGCAACACACTATGACGGCTGCTTTAGGACATGACGATAATGCGACTGCCATTCCAATGCGCATCGATCGAACTGCTGTGGACACTGGGCAAATGAGTCCCGCTTGTTGGGCGGCTCATCTTCGTCGGCAGTTTGCTGAGTTAGCTTCTCCTCGAGATCATATTTGGTAAGCCATTACTGTTCCTCATGTGCGTTTTATTGCATTTTTCGTTGTCACAGTTAAACATGCTTTACTCTTCTCTACTATTATGACTAGCTCATTCTAGAGCAATTGGCACTCATGTTGTTCACTTGCGCTACTTATGTCTTCACGTGCTAATAGTCTATGACTCACTGCTCGTCACACTAAGATGAAGCAGCGGACAACAATTTTTGCAAGCCATTCGTTTTGGTCAAGATCCTAACGACTGTTGCGACGTTTGGAAACGCTTTAGAATGTGGCTCATAGCAGCAGTTAGTGGTGCGAAGATCTAGTTCCAAGATGTGAGGAAAGGTGCTTTTGTTTTGAATGATATTTTGCTTATGACTTCATTTCCCTACACTTTTTTCAACTGCATCGTGATTATTGAGCACATAGTCTTCCATATGGTTCACCAATACGTATATATTTGGTTTAATGGTCGCTTCAGAGGTTATGAGCTCTTTGTGTTGCTGGAGGGTGTTGTGAGAGAGTGCTTTCCGCTGCATTTACCTTCTCCTCTGCTAATCTGAGATAAGTCATAACTTGCTTCATTAAGGTCGGATTTAGGTCTGTTTTTAGCGATGAAAGTATTGCGATATAGGTTTTGGTTTTGGGTTTGACAGGTTGTAGATACATCTTTTGCCAAACTTGGTATAGACTCGTGATTGGTAGAACGGACACAGGAAGCGGATGTGTAGTCTATAGGTACCTTATGACTCACCATCTTATCAGCCTGATTGGTGTTTATAGGAAGGAGCACATCACTACTACTCTTTGGGAAAGTTTTAGTAAACCGTTCATGTCCGGAACGCAAGCTTCCTTATGTTAACAAGATCGACATTACTGATTTCTGCATCTACTGGTTCCGCTAGTAGGAACATGAGGAGTTCGAGGGGCATAGTGAGTTGGCTTGCAAGTTCACACAGTGTGCCTCCGTCCCCTATGGCTCATTGGCATGAGCTGCCATCGGCCATTTGCTCGATCTCCAGCAGCGAATGCGCACCACTGACGAGCCTTAATTGTCGAAGCGATCGTTTGACTCTTTCCCGGTTGGAGTTAGACTGATCTGGGTTGCGAACGTTTGAACTGAACCAGTCAACTTTCATCAAAAGTTCTCTTGCTCATAAGTAATCAAACACACTTTCTGTTTACATATGCTATGCGGGCATAACTACGGTGTAGTGGGAGTCATAACCTCGGAGGCCAGTCACTGTCGTCCGTGTGATGGGGGTGTCATATCAGAAGGAACTAATGGTCCAAATGAGCGAGCCAAACAACCTATGAGAGTCAACTATAACGGAATCGATTACTGGACACGGATTTGCCGACCTACGTGAGAGTTACCCACTGTTTTTCCAACTTAGTCAAAGATGGAACCTTATCTGCTCAGAAGGGCGGTTAGTTATGGACGTGAATGTGCAATTTATATCAAGGAGTTCACCTTGCAAAACATGCTGTAATTTTCGCTGCATTGAATTTACTGCATAAACGCTTATACCTGAAAGGCAGCACTGCAGTGGTAGGAACCCGCATGGCAGTGGAGGACAGGTTGCGCTATATCCCATTTAACTTGCGATTTCAGCCGGTATGCCTACGTCTCCCATGACTCAGTGGCATAAGCTGCTAGGTAGTTGGTGTAAGCTGCTAGTGGTCATGCGTTTGACCCCATGCAATGGAACGAGAAATGCACACCCCTGACTAGCTCCCATTGAACGGGATGATAATTTGGTGCTTTTGCCATGTGGGCAGCTGGGGTGAGTCAGCTAACTTGGATAGTCGCCTTTGAAGAAGTGTCTGGTCACAATTTTCATGTTTATTTTTGTGACAATTAGTCTTTTATTGCGGGCGAATTATGATTCACTCGAGTTGTCTGGAACTAAGCGTTATTGGACATGAGCTTATCTTTCCTTTCTTTCTCACTTTAAGGTGTAAACAATTGATTCCGTTCATATCACATGCTGTTAGAAGAGAATTTTAACTCTATTGATATTTAGCTTAACGGGTACGTCGACGATAGAATCTGCGACCTGCGTTGGCGTTCTTGTGTCTCGTACATGATTGTGAAATTTTAAGACCCTGCCATGCCTAGTCGGTCTAGTGTTCCATTTGTTGCTCCTCTAAGCAGTTAATATGACGATAGAACTCGATTACAACGTGCTAAATTCATGAATTTCCTTTTCCGACGTATTGATATCCTATGAAAGATTGCTAATCGGACTGGCACTTCAGGCGGGTTGGTGGTAGCGAGGTTGTGGTAGCTCATAGCTGCATCCGATTTTTCTTCGGAGTTTCGATGATGAACCTCTCATGGATGCATTAGTAGCTGTGTCATTCGTATGTCTTCTTGTTTCTAGTTTCGCCTTTAACTTTAGTAAGGAATTTCTTGTTCTCACCTTGCTAACAACTATTTCTAGTGAATACTGACTGGTAGGTTATAACATGACGAAACTACGACCATTAGATTTTTTGATTGAGTGTTTGGATAGCCTCAGCTTGACGGGTAAAAATATGACGCACTATTTCAAATATCAACCAGTCTTACTTCCGTGCTGTTTTGTTACCGGGTCAGTTGTTATGATTCCTAGGTGATTATGATAGTTCGGACGCACATTTCCACTGAGCGGCGTGTTCGTTTGTCTCACTTGTTCGCATAGTATCCGTGTCTGGGGCGAACGCTCTTGAGCAGATAGTGGACGAGGATCGTGGCATCGCTGAAACACGTTAAACTACGCATGCGGAGTCTAGCGAAATTCACGAAAGTTATTGGGACAAGAGCTGGCTCGTATCGATCGTTGCCGTTTTGGGTCAGCTGCGAACAGCGAATGTAATCCGCACGTCAGCTGCCGATAGAAAAAGCGTCAGCCATTGTGCCGCAATACAAAAGAAAATATTATCTGACGGAGCCACGCCGGCTGAGTCACCAGTAGCGGATGGACATCGTTCCGGAGAGCTAACTACCGGCTGTTGTGCCGCAAAAAGTTATATTATGCCTATTTGGAGTAGAATGCGTAAAAGTTAGTTTACATGCACTCAGATTATATGGAATAAGTACACGAGATGTCAGAGCAGCAAATTTGTGCTTCTGCTTGCACGTCACTACTGACGGCTTCTTCTGTTGTGCCTCTGTATTTCCACTAGTTTTGTTGGGGGCTTGTGGCATTTTGATATATGCCTCCGGTCGTCTTCTGTTCACTCGAATCGAGACAATCAGCTCCAAGACTCAAGCTTCAGCGCTCAACTGTTTGCAATCGAACTGTCAGAGTGCCTCTTCCAAGACCCTTCTATCATGGAATCAGGAGATGCGCGCCTTATCGGAGTGAGTGGTTCTTGTTTTTTGGCACTTTTGGTTCTACTGTCCTAAATGTCTAGCTTTCGTAGTCGTAGATCATTGTTTTATCCGTTTTGTTACTTTTCCTATGCGTTATTAATGGAAATCAATCCAGCTCACCAATGAATTAAGCTGCACATTATACAGGGGCTTTTTCTCTCCCCTTGGTTTCTATTTGCTACATTCTTTCGTGCTCTGTGCCGAACTCCAATTCTTCGCGAACGGTTTGCCTATGATCTGTTGCATGTTCATACACATGTTTTTATCTTTATTTCATCAACGCTAATTTATAACTGGTCACCGTGTTTTCGACCGCTCGTGTAGCAACAGGCTGTTACTACTAATATCTGTTCATGTTATCACTGAATGCCATACAACAGACGCTTGTTGTTATCAGTGGATGCACTGCGTTTGAAAAATCATGCCTGCGCGTTCCCGTTGGGCTGTTGATCGTTTCTCCAAGGAAGATGGGCTTTACTTTCCCAAGTCAACCACTGCCATGTTTACTCAGTTTTGTGCCGCCACTGGCATTACATTGCGACAGGAGTTGCGAAAGGCCATCAGTTCTAGCTGTCACCGAATTACCCCCGGAAGCGGTGAATCGGTCCACTTTTCTTGGTAGTTTTGTCACGTCTGGTGACTGCATCACTGAGGGGTTGCTCCGCGTATCAGCAAGGCCCGTGTGGCTTTTTAGAAGCGCGACCATTCACGGAGACAGTTCGGTGTCAGAAGTCCCGTGAAAATTAGGAAGTATATCGCTTCGATAAGGCCGGTGTTACTACACGGACAAGAGACCTGGCCAATTCGTGTTGTTCCCGACTGCAACAGCGTCCAATTATCCATGCAGCTGATGTTCCGGTATTCTCCTCGCATCTATATAATATATATTTCTGAACCACCTGAGGCATCGCAGTAGAATTAAGCAGTCCATTCCATGCGTCGCATTCCGGTGGATCGCTTCCGTGTCAGGCGTTCTGTCATATCTGCGGATACTCAGTCAGATGCGGGTCTACTTGATGTTATCTTTCCAAATATTAGATGTCCTTGTATAACCTTCGCGTTTTGTACCCTCAGGTTTAACCGACAGCACCATTGAGATGTGCAACATCAGTTTGGTCCCGTTGGTCAGGTGATGATTCAACCGCACCGGATGTACGAGCTTGCCAATAGCCACACACGCCTTCTCTACGTCGATAGGCAGCGTGATCTTGAATTTGCCCTATTTTGATACGTTTTGTGAAACTTCGCCAGCGATCTAGATCTGCGGGCAGCACGTGTGCCACAGTTCTGGTGACGACTGAAATATACACAATTATACATGGAACAATTGGCAACACCGATCAGCGTGTCCCAGTCAGAACAATGGCAACCTTATTGATGTCCTCTAGAGTATCTGTACACTTAACACGGGTTGCTGTGCCCTTATTAACAACGCTTCACTAATTACCAACATTATCGGGTTTCTGTGACACAATAGCACCCTGTATGTGGTCTCCGGGTTCACGTGGGGATAGATGATGGCGGATTCCGGCTCATTTTACGCTCCGTTTCCTCGCGTCATCGCTTGTTCTACCTATTTTGGCAACTGCTCAGCCACTCTCCAAACCAACCGGAGGTCAGTTCCGTATGTGTAAATGTCATTGTAACTTCAGATGAACTGATAAATCACGTGAGAAGCTGCTCTGACAGTCATGAAGAACAATCTTGCGAGTAGCGTGCATGAGGTGCAACTGACCGGTCGTGCAAGTGCGCGTTATGGCAGACCTGGGCCTGTGCCCGATATCTTTTGTAACGTGACCCCCTTTGAACGATAGAAAACAAATCAACTGTTTTTTCTCTGCCGTTAACACCGGTAGTTTCTTTCTGGGGAGCCTGCTGAAGGTATTCATGATGTTTTCGGGATATCCATTCACCATGAGAACATCGTGCTTCCTTGGAATCGAATCCCAGCGCCATGCACGATGCGGTATCCTTTATTTCCTGCACGGTTGATCATCACGAAACCTGCCACTGGATATCCGATTTGTCGGTGAACATGCTGTACCCAGGTGGTATGCGCAGGCATGCCTAGGAACTACAATTTGTTTGTTAATAGATCTGGCGTTGAGTAGAAGTACAGAAAATGGACTATTGTGGGTTCATCGTGTTGTGGTTCGTTGTTATACGCGTTGTTGTAGTCAGGTACTATGGACGCAGGAGATACGGGTGGGAGTAGTGGGGTTGAGTCTATTCTTAGCAGGCGTGGTGTTACGGGTAATATGTCGTTCGTAATTGCCGATATTGCTGTGGACATGGAATTGGTTGTGGGAGCAAGTCAAATTTACGGTGGGCGTTGCAGTTCGCTAGCCGAGTCATCTGCGAAACTTGCAAGTACAGTGGCCTTGTCTTCGTAACATAGTTCATTCCAAGCATTCTCAACCGTTATTCGGTCGTGACCAGTTTTTGAACCTTTCAATTTCTCCTAACCCACCACCCTTGATCACCCCAATTTTAGCTTTCTGCAACACCTAACCGACTAAATCTGTGATTTCCAGTGTTCATTTTCGTATCTTTCCTATGATGGTTAACTTTTTAATGTTGGTCTCACTGCTCTTTCCCTTATGGACCACTTTTTTAAACTTTCACAGCCTCAAGTTAACATTCATTGAGCACCAACATCAAACCACTTGTCTGTAGCTACACAAGTCATCATGATACTAAAAGTTGTATTCATTTATTGTTAGCTTTTAACTGTAATGCACGTCATGAATGACGAAATGTAGTAGCCTCGTAACGATATGTTTGCCGAGCGATTAATACGCACCTTGAGCGTGATGTGCCTGGGCAAGTTTTCTTATGTCCGGCTCTAGACTTGACAGCGAGAGTCGAAGCTCTTTTGCTATGATATCCAATATGATTCTACACTTTATTAGAGAAATCACCCTGCTAAATCCACATTCAACCAAGTATGTGGCTAGAAATACATTTTATCCATTTCCCACAGTCTGGAATATCTGTTAGTGGCATCAGTCTTCATTCGAAAACCCCTTTTATATTGCTTGAATTTGTATCTTACTGGTGTGTCACTTTGAAGTTGTGCGATACCTTAATGGATTTTAACTCTATCATAGCAGGGCTGTACATCAAATGGATCTAAATATCAGATCGAGATTTTTCATGTCAATCAAGTCATGAAACCTGTCTATCATTTGGTTTCGGAGTTGCTGCAAATGACTGGCATAAACAATCAAGTCTTCTTCCTTCAGCTCCTCCGTGACTGCAGTGAGAATTGGGACCTGTGAAAATGCCCTTCGTTTTGAGCGATAACAGCTTCTTTTTTCGAGATGAGATTACTCAACTTGCTTTGAAGGATTTTCTTTACTAAGTTGAGTTTTTCACAAACATCAGCCAGCTAAATATGTCTGGCCTAGAGGTTAACAGTTCTCCAACGTAATCACTTCCTTAAAGGAAGGTGTTGATCCTGATTCCGGAGTGCATCATAACGGCGAAGGCAGTTGCCTTTGAAGAGTCATCTAACTTCTTTATTCAACAGTAGAGCATGGAAATCTTTACTGTTCTCCTCACACAACTTCTGGAAGAGACGATCCTGAAGGGGGTTCGCTTTGGTATTGTTGACTACTACCGAAGCTCCGACACTGCTTGATTTCTACGTGCACTTTCAACGGATCGCGGACTATTATATACCATTTAATCCTGTTTTGCATTCCCTTTCCATACTCGGAACAAGTGCCGAAAGATATCTGACGGTTCTTGCAAACACCGCAAAACATTCCAAATCACTCTGCGCTCTGTTCTGTAGTGGATTCTGATTTATCCATTTCTACGTATACCAACCAAATTCCAATCATTCGGCTCGGAATTACCAGCTCTATCCAAGAACCACTTAACCAGCTCCATGCGATCGGAATCTACAAATCTTTGCTGTACGCGGAGCCATATTTCCTAATGCGCCCAGTAAATCTGCCTTCCCACTATGGGACCCTAGCTCCATCGTGGCGACTACCGGGTGTTTTGGTAATCTGGTCCGGAGCTAGGAGCGGCTGCACTCAGATGCTGACGTACAACCGGTACGCTGAATTGCTAATTGTCTAATGACGCAAATTGCTTTGCCGGCAGGGGTGAGATGGAACACAGACGCCACATGTGTGCCTACGATCGCAGAGCACACCGAGCCGTTCGGCTGTGAGAAGTGAACGTTAGCCAGACACCGCAGCCGCAATGAATGCGTCATGCCTCAAACGCATGGCAAGACCTAGGGAATGCAGGCCGTGCAGTTGTGAGAACTGGACGTGAGTCGGGACACCACATAGCCGCACCGAACGTGTCGTGCTTCGATCGATCGGCATTTAGCCTTGATTCAGGTGAAATGCCAACAAAATGTGTTCCCCGTGAGGTGGTTAGTGGTTCACTATGCTTACAACTGAGAAAAACAGCCTGGCCGTATGTGATGACCGGTCGATGGGCGCCGTATTGCTATCGCCGCAAAAACTGTTATCACCTCATTACTGGCTTTCAACAAACCCGTAAGCTTTACTTAGGCTGCTTTCACTGCTAAAGGGAATCATATTGCGAGGAGCACATGGTAAGGTTACAGTGTTGTTCGCTTTACCGTTTCGATCGCGTGCGTGTTACAGCTGAAAATTCACCCTTCACGTGTGCATTAAAACCATTTCTTGACTTGACGTGACAATGCTGTTAGATTTCAGTCTGCGCCGACGCACTGGTGGCGCCATTAGACAGCATACCAATTTAGTTATGAATGCAACCATTGCCCTCAAAGTCAGACAACTGCTAGTTGTGTGAATTGATCAGGCCTTCGATGGTGTTTCCCATTTACAATCGAGAATATACATTTATTCACTTCTTTACTTATATTTATGTGGAACATGTGAAATGTATGGAAATATCAACGAATTAGATGTTTGCAACATCAGACAAAGCAGACGGCCTCGCACCGTCACGGAAGAAGTAGCAGCTTGCGCGGTTGC